ATGGTTTTTTATTCCTTTTTTCTCTTTACTCCCTTCCTCCTTATGTAATTGGTTATCTAGTGGTTTTTGCTTGGAATTAGGTTCTATAAGTTGTGAAGATTGCCCCCCTTCCCCCTCATTTTTAGTTTAAAGCCCTTTTGATAAGATGAGCCAATTGTTTTCCGAATATATTCTTTCCAGTTCTTGTGAGGTGCAGTCCATCCCTTGCCAGTAACCTTTCATCTAGGTAATACAGACCATGGTCTAGGAAGCTGAAGTTCTGTTGATGATGCCAGTTTGTAAGCCAGTGTTTGTTTGTAAAATCCTTTGCTCCCTCATTGGATGGTGGCCTTTTGTTGGAAGCATAGATGAAAACACCACTTGTGCTCCTAATTGTTTAATTTTCTTCCCTAGCTGTTTGTAATCTCTTGTTATTGTTTTCAGATTCATTGTTGTGTCATTGGTCCCCACATGTAGGAGAAGAAAGGGGTAGTAATTGGTGGGGTTGATTATTTTATTAAGGTACTCAATTACAGCTTTGATTTTTGCTGCAGGAAGCCTATATACCTATATGTATCAACATAATGTGAAGTCTTAGTGCCGCTTTATCCTGCTTTCGTCAGCCCTCACTTGGAATACTGCATCCAGTTTTTGTCACCATGATACATAAAGTTGAATGTAGAAAGTGTGCAGAGAAGAGCAACAAGGATGATTAGGGGGCTAGAGGCTAAAATATATGATGAACAGTTGCAGGAACTGAATATGTTAACAAAACGAAGGACTGGAAGTAATATGATAGCAGTCTTCCAATATTTGAGGGGTTGTCACAGAGAAGAGGGTGTCAACCTATTCTCCAAAGCAAATGAGAGCAGGACAAGTAATAACAGAGGGAAATTTATTAAGGAGAAATCCATCCTAGAATTAAGGAGAAATTTCCTGACAGTGAGAACAATTAATCCATGGAATGGCTTGCCTCCAGAAGTTGTTGGTGCTTCACTACTGGAGATTTTAAGCAAGAGATTGGATAGCTGTTTGTCCAGAATGGCATAGGGTCTCCTGGTTGAGCAGGGGGTTGGACCAGAAGGCCTCCAATGTTCCTTCTGAATTTGTTATTTTGTATTATTCTGTAATTGAATAAATTATAAAAATTAATCCAATGGCCGAAAAGCAACAAAAAACTGAAACAAATATAATTATATAATTATGACTGTAATATAGATTGTGTGGTTATTTCGTGTTCTGAACTAGTAATAGCAATAGCACTTAGACTTATATACCGTGTTTCACAGTGCTTTACAGCCCTCTTTAAGTGGTTTACAGAATCAGCATATTGCCCCCAACAATCTGAGTCCTCATTTTACCGATCTCGGAAGGATGGAAGGCTGAGTCAACTTGAGTGGGTGAGAATTAAACTTCCGAACTGCTGGCAGCCGGCAGTCAGCAAAAGTAACCTGCAGTACTGCATTTTAACCATTGTGCCACCACAGCTCTTGACTACACTAATTGTCTTTCTCAGTCATTTATACACAAAAATCTGTTCACATGTTTTTGATGGTAATTCTATATTAAGATTATCATAACAGCATTTCAATATTACCACAAATGTCAGGCATTTCCTCAGGAAGGAAAGTAATTGTAAGGAATATAATAGCTGTATATTAAGGACTGATTTAATGTGTTTTTAGTTTAACTTAAAGTACCACATTGCCTGAAAATGATCAAACTGAAGCAGACGGTTGGCAGTAAATGGTAAACAATATGAATGGTATAAAAATAATAAAGGCAGGATATAAATATATTAATAAATAAATAAAAAATTGCCATTAAAGTAGATTTCAATTTAACACAGAAAATGTATTTTCCATCATTGTATTGCTTACCAGCCACATTGATACCAGGTTGGATTTACTATCTTGTAGTAATACTACTTTAGGAATTAATTAATATATTGAAGACTGAATGGCATAGAGATACCCTCATTCTTATCATCTTGAAAATATCTCCACATAAAATAGAAAAGTGTGCTTTTGTGTGAGCAAGCTGAGCACAGTGGATCTCTGACATGGCACTCAATTGTTAGCAGGTTTATCTCATTGCACCTCATTTGCATCTGGGACATCAATTAGCATGTTTGTTGAGACTAATTGAATGAAACTCAATCATAGCTCTTAATTGCTTGACTATGAAAAGAAATCACATTAATGCAGCTAATTAAGTATATGACAATAGATGCAACATAATTAAGAGAAGAAGGCAAAAAACAAGCAGTGGCAAAGGTGTAAGAGCCATGGGGTACAGTGGCTTCAGAAGCTTAACAGTGGCACATTTGGGAATTGTGTCGGTATTGTTTTTCTGGTGCTTCATTATTGCTACTGAATTATGAACATAGAAAACTTAAGAACCAAATGTAAATAGGTTTGCAATTACTACTTTTTCAAGTTGTTGAGGAGCCAAAGATAGCACTTCTGGGGTGGTCCACTGTAGAGTAGACTCTGGGGACTTGTTAAGTGCTGTTTAAAAGTACTTGGCTTTGATTTACCCTTGTGTCTTGTTAAAGCAATCCCTTTTCTCCTATCAGCATTTTTACAGCTAATATCCAGGGATATTCTCTTTGTAATATTTGCATATCAAAAATCAGGCTTTCTGTTTCTCTGTAGCACTGCATATTCCAGATGACAGGGTCATCTTCAACTGTTTCTTATGTGCTCATATTCTCTGAAGCAGTTAAGCTTTTTCATGCTATAAATTTTTATTTCTGTAAATTATAATTTCTAAGATGAGAGAGTGTTGAGATTTTGCTCTAGGAAAATGCAGCTCTTTGATTTTTTTTTATGACACACCAGATTTTTTTTTGATGAGTATGAATCTTTTTTTATATAGACTTAATTTTTAGAAAATATATTTTAAAATATCAGTTACCAATACAATTAAAACCCAATAAAACAATAATGATAGCAAATGTGTATAAAACTTAATCATGCAGACTTCTCTGGGGAGAGTATTTCATAAATGAATTTTCAATTGAGAAGGTCTCCTTCAGAATGGGTTTACTGAATTTGGGTTGCAAAAATACAGATAACCACAATATGACATCTGGTGCTCATTTAGATGGTTGCAAACTGGATATGATATTCCTATTCCAGAATCCAAGGCTATAACACTCTCAAAGGTGGCTATACAAGAATCTTTGAGCTACAACTCTTAGAACTTCCAGAATATTGGTCATCCAGAATCACAAATTTATCAGTATTTAATCTTGCTTAAAATTTAGGCAATGAAATGTAAATTGATTAATTTTCTTCAGCCTTATTTATCTCTTCAAGGAAACACACACATTACCTTCTCAATATATCTGTAGTATACTATGAGATTTGTATAAAATTAGAAAGGGTGAAATTTGTCAATCATTTGAAAACCGTTTTGCATATTTGCCAGAAGCTGCTGAAGTCGTCATCATTGTTGTCAGCCATTCAGTCATGAGCAACCCCCAACCCTCTATGGATCAGCACCCTCCATGCCCCTCTATCTCACATAATCTCCTTCAGATCTGCTATTGTCATCTCAGAATCATCTTTTATAGTATCCAGCCAGCAGATCCTTCTCCTTTTTCCACTGATGACTGTGCCAGTATGGTTAACTTTTTCAGTGAGTCAGATCTCATGACATAGCCAAAGTATGACAGCCACTATTTGGCAATCTTGGCTTCAAATGATATTTTTCGTAGGTTTAACTTAGGATTTCTTCGTTCATTTTTGCAATTCATGGGATATGTAATAGTCACCTTTAGCACCACAGTTCAAAGGTGTCCACCCTTTTCTTATCTGCCTTTTTCAGAGTCCATGTTTCGCAGCCATAAGTAGCAATTGGAAAAATTATTGCATTAACTAATCTGCATTTGATTGTGAGGCTGATGTCTTTACTCTTCCAGATGTTACTCATGCCAGACATTGCAGTTCTTCCAAGTGCTATACACCTTTTGATCTTGGGGCTGCAGTCACCACTTTGGTCGATTTTAGAGCCTAGAAAGATTACTGTTTCAATGGTCTCATTGTCAATCTGCTCTGTGACCTGTGTGTTCTCTGCAGTTTTCATTATCTTTGTTTTCTTTATGTTAAGGTACAGTCCAAATTTTTCACTTTCATCTTTGATTTTTAGGATTAACCACTTCAGATCCTCATTGCTTTCTGTGAATAATGTTGTGTCATCATATTGGAGGTTGTTGATATTCCTCCCACTGATTTTAATCCCAATGGTAGATTCCTCCAAATGTACATTTCTCATATCTATTTTGGTGTACATGTTGAATAGTATAGGTGACAGGATGCAATCTTGTTGAATGACTTTTTCAGTTCTGAACCATTTTGTGTCTCCATATTCAACAGTAGTGGGCCTTATTCAAGATGACAATGAGAGTGCTTACTGCAAAGAGGTTGAGGGTTTGGTGAACTGGTGTAAGAAAACAATCTAGTTTTAAATATTGGAAAAGATAGCTTTCAAACCAGACTATGATGCTGTATGACAGATGTTTTGATCGTCCTTCTGTAGAAAGTAGTAAGGACAGGGGAAGGAAAATGTACTTTTTTCATGTGACACTGTTGAGCAACCAAGCCAGTCTACTTGTTAACTGCACATCCAGGAATTTGATGCGGGTAACCATTCCTTTGACATTAGCCATTCTGTAATTGGAGTAGGTTTAATCCTCTGCACCACAGATGAATGCTGTCTTCTGCTTTGCCTATTTGCACCTGCAACACCAAAATTGATATTGCTTGATATAGGATCTAACAGCTTCCCAGTGGGAGTATTATACTATTAATATTTAACACTGCCTCCACCCTGCAATTTTATATTCTGATCTACTTTAGAAAACTTCCTAATGGTTAAGAAAATATGTTTTAAGAAACATAAATTCTTAGTAAACTCAGGAAAATCAAATTAATCACATGATTTCTTTTAATCCCATATTTTTGCATTATTTTCATCTCCTCTGGGGGAAATATATTTGTGTTCTTTTGGTGCAGGACTATATGCAAAATGTTCATGGAAAAGAAATTGATCTCCTGAGGACCACAGTTAAAGTGCCAGGGAAGAGGCCACCTCGTGCCACATCAGTGTGTGCACCTATCTCTAATCAAAGAACAAACGGCTTGTCCAAAGAGATGAGCGCTTTACATATGCCACCAAATTCAGGTAAGAGAAATATAGTTTGAAAACATGTTTTCAATATTTGTTTATGTTGCCTTTTAATTTAAAAATACTGTAATTATATTTAATATATTTAAGGTAAACATTTATGTAGTGGTAAGTTCCATTTAATTCATTACTATTTATTTTTAAATACACAAACATAAGGTTTGGTTTTAATCCACTCCTGGAAGGTTTGACTGGGAAAGCAATCTTAAAAAAAAACAAAAACAAATAAATAATGGTAGGACGGAACTTGAATAAAATGCAGTGTGAAAGAAGTGACTGAAGGAGCCCTATCATGTGAATGACAGCTTCAGTTATAAATGATATACCCCAGACATAGTTATTGCTTTATTAGTGGGAACTGGAACTTAAGTACAAGAATTTATGTTCATTGTGCAAATATGCTAACACTTTCTGTTCTGTTTTGCACGTTGGTAGGCATTGAACGAGGCAGAGTAACAAACAGGTACTTCTTTATTTGCAGTTACAGAACTCCCTACAAAATGGCTCCACCCCTTTTATACATTCACCCTGGGACATTGTCAGCCAATGAATGTAACGTATTTTCCTGTTCCAATGCATGCTCAGTAACTCGGAGACAGCCTGTCTGGCTCGTGGTCTGCCCGGGTCTCAGTGCAGCTTCCTGCACCTGCTCCATCAATCAAAGCCCAGGACATAACATCCCTCCCCTCCTGGTTCTGAAGGAGATACTTACTATTTTACAATACTACATGCGTTCTCTCCAATGTTCATTTAAACAATCAATAATACACAACATTATAGGTCTTTCCACTTATCAAAATAATAATATTAAATGGACCCCGTTACAAGGAACATATACAACATTCCCTATACATCACATCATAGCACAAAATAAGTCAGTTCCCAAAAGACATACACAAGCTTTTCAATTGCAATAAAATACAAAAGCATTTTATGGTTGCAAAGACAGAAACCTCACGTAGTCCTTTAAGAACTTCGGTGGGCCTTTTGCCCACTCCAATCATCTTGGAGCTGCTGCAAGTGCCCGATCTGCAAGCTCGCCTGCCAGGCTCGCAGACCAGGACTTTGAGACCCATTCGATATGGGTGAAACCAGATCGTGAAAGCTGGCCTGTTCCGGTAGACCCAAGCCTTTGTCCCTTTGACTTTGGCTGGCCCATTCTGGAGGGCCCAAACCAGAGTTCCTTGATGGGGTGGAAATCTCTGGATCGGCATACACAGCTGGCTGGGAGCACTGTCCCGTTGGCGCAAGGCCTGAGGTAGATGCGGCATGAAAAGCCGATTGAGTGCAATGGCCCCTTGACGCATTGCCCGCAGAAGGAGTAGTGTGACAAGCTGGTTGAGCGCAATGTCTCATGGACGCAGTGCCAGAGTTAGCCACCTCGTTGGCAAAACCCCCATTTGGTGAATGCAATGTCCCACTTTCTCTGAGAGACTGAGATTCATGATCGCAATCATGGTCCTCCTCCCCCTCCCGAGAGTAGAGTCAGGAGTGGAAGGGTGGCTAGGTAACCTCCAGCGCAGCTGGTCAATGTGCCTGCCCAGCACACAATCATCTTCCACTGCCACTTCGTAAGAAAGTGGCCCGGTAACTTTGCAGACCATCACAACCACCCAAAGGTGCCCAGGTCCATAGTTCCATGCCCAAACTGGATCACCCACTTGCAATTGCCTCAGTGCCCTCGGCTGTGGCATCTGTGATGCAACCCGATCTGGGTGTAATCTATCTAACTTGGTGATAAGACGGCAACCCCATCGAAGCTCCGCTGGGCTCTTGCCCGTAGATGTGCATGGTGTAGTGCGGTGGCAGAGGAGGAAATCTGCCAACCTGTGATGCCAGTTTCCATGGGTGAGCCGTTTCAAGGTTTCTTTAGTAGTGCGAACATGCATTCCACTTGGCCATTTGAGGCCGGATGAAAGGGTGCAGAAGTAGCATGCCTAATCATAATTCGTCCTCAGAAAGGCTCCAAGGAGGTAAATTGAGGTCCATTGTCAGAGATGAGGACATCTGGAAGCCTGTGAGAGGCAAAAATCCCCCTCAAAACCTGGATGATCCTGGCAGTCGTCATAGTGGACACTGGAACAAACTCCAGCCATTTGGAGTGACTGTCCACCACAATGAGGAAGAGCTGCCCCTGAAAGGGGCCGGCGTAGTCGATATGAACCCTTGACCAAGGAGCATGTGTGGTCTCCCATCTATGAACGGGAACCTGTGGCATTTCGGGTCTGGACTGCTGGCAAATGTGGCACCCTTGGACCTGGGTCTCGATCTCTTTATCGAGCCCAGGCTACCAGAGATAGCTGCACACAAGCACCTTCATCCAGACTATTCCCGGATGTCCCTCATGCAAAGAAGTCAAGACCCTAGTCCTCAGTGAGGTTGGGATCACTACCCTACTGCCCCACAGGACACAACCCTTAAAGGTGGATAACTCATGCTTCCTTTTCCAGAAACTCTGTAAATTAGTGCCAGGACACGTGTCACGCCCTCCTGACAGCACCCAGTTCAACACGTGTGTTAACGTGTTGTCAGTGGCTGTTTCTGCAACCACATCCCCTGCATTGAGGGGAGACTCTGGCAAATCCTGGATAGCCAGGATGTGATTGGCCAGAGCAGGATCCGACTCTAATAGCTGTAGAGGCAACCTACTAAGGCCGTCCACATGGCCCATTTCCTTACCCGGTTTGTGAACCAGGCAGTAGTCATAAGCAGAAAGAAATATTGACCATCTCAACATTCTAGGAGAGATGATTTGGGGCATCTGTTTGTTCGTCGTGAACAACCCCAGGAGCGGCTTGTGGTCCGTGAAGACCGTGAAATGGCAGCCATACAAAAAGTCATGAATTATATAACTAAAAATCACAAACAGCAGCAGTACATTCAGGGCAAGTGTGTCTGAGATCCCCTTTATCTAAGAATGTCTGGCTTAGTTCAGTGCAACACTTGCTTTGCAGCTGTCTTTCGCAGTACCCTTTTCAAACTTGGAAACTGTCCTATCTGTAAACAAATCACTAGCCTAGAAGGACAGATAATTTACCTAGGGTCTGTAATCCGTGCTCTTTGGGCAGAAATTAGGTGTCCAGTTCAGCCCCTCTACTCTAGTAAGCCTCCGTGGTATCAGCCCCCTTTACCACAAAGATCCTGCAGGAGAAGGGCAGTGTGGACAACCGTGGGTTCTGGCAGGGTGAGAGCTGTGAACCATAAACACCAAGCTTTCGCTATGTCCCTGCACAACAGTTATAGTGCCCTTGCTGACCTTAATAGGGACATTACGGAGACAGGTAAAGGTATTTGTGAAGATAACTCAAATAAGCAGGGGATTGTGGTCCGAGATGAAGAACTAGATTTCGACAGGGAGAAGTGTGAATCAGGTATTGCACATCAGTCATGCAAGAACAGAAAGGCACCCAAAAAGAGAAGCTGCCTTCTGGTGGGTGATTCAGTTATAAGGGATGTAAATTTAGGAAAGCACACAGAGGCTTCGAAAGAGGTCAGGTGTCTTCTAGGTGCTACTGCCAGTAGGGACAAGAAGCGTATTTCTAAAATAATCAAGAATGGCAGCAAGGACTGTGATGTGGAGGCTATTGTACATCTTGGCACTAACGATCTGTCCCAAAAAGATGTACTCTCTGTGCAGAATGATTTCCAGAGCTTGGGGAAGGAACGTAGCAGAATAGGCTGTAGGCTTACTTTCTCAGAGGTTTTACCAGTGTATAAGGAGCACAACGGAAAAGGCCAGCGCATAGCACAATTCAATATGTGGCTGAAGGAGTGGTGTAAAGGGGAAGGCTTTGGATATATTAGTCACGATGTCAGTAGCTGGTCCAATGAAAAGATGTACAAAAGAGATGGTTTGCATCCATCAAAAAAAGGGACTGAGTTACTCGGCTATAAATTCACAGATTTTCTGGAGGGAAATTTAAACTAAACAGCGGGGATAGGGAGTTAATTGATATGGAACAACCCTGTCCCCGGCAATTTAAAAATTATAGGGCTATCAGTGCATGTAGCATAGATATGTGTGTGGACAAGAATACCAACCTTGCTATCAAGCAAAATGAAGCCTCTAATAGCGAGTGCCACACAAAGTGCACTAACCAAATAGGTGGTAAGACAATAGGGGAATTCAGGCACCACACAGGTTATGTAGAAAGGAAACACAGGGCCACTCACAAAGGACTCAAATGTTTATACACCAACGCACAGAGTATGAACAGCAAACAGGGTGAACTAGAAATTCAGGTTAATGAGGGCAGATACGATATTGTTGCCATTACGGAAACACAGTGGGATGAAACCCACACATGGAACACACAGCTAGAGGGATTTAAATTATTTAAAAGAAACAGACCAAATAAAAGAGGAGGTGGAGTTGCTCTCTAGATAAGAAATAACTACATCTCCACAGAAATAGAGCACAACAATGATAAAAACTGTCTTGAATGCATTTGGGTCAATATAAAAGGGGGGGAAAATGACATTGCCATAGGTGTATACTACAGACCACCCAACCAAACAGAGGAAATAAATGAACTTTTTGCGTCAGCTAACTAAGATGAAGTGAAGAAAGCCAAGGCTCAAAATGAACTAAGGCTTGCGACCAAAGTCAAAAATAACAAAAAAGCTTCTTTCAACATGTAAAAAACAAGAAAAAAGTGAAGGAAATGATTGGTCCATTAGTGGGTGGAAGTGGCAAGAAGGTGACAAGCAACAGGGAGAAAGCAGAACTATTTAACTCATTTTTTGCATCTGTCTTTACACAAAGGGAAAAAACAGACCAACCTATCAAAAATAGTGCCATAAAAAACAAAATAGAAACACAAGTTAAGATAGGCAAGAAAATGGTAAGTGAGCACCTGTCCAGCCTAGATGAGTTCAAATCGCCAGGACCAGATGGATTACACCCCAAGGTTCTCAAGGAACTGGCAGATGTGATATCGGAACCACTGAACTATATTTTTCAAAGATCCTGGAACACAGGGGAACTACCAGAGGAC